CACCCCGTGCCCCCGCCGTCCGGCACGGCGGGCCGTGGTGGGGCGTTTTACGGCTGCTCCTGCCCCCTCACTGTGGCACCGTCAGCGGGTCGGGGCAGAGGGGCGCTCGCTGTCAGCCCCACTGCCCTCGTCTGGGCGGTGGGACAGTGCCTGACCTCCACCCAGCACCGACGGCTGGCACCTGCGACGAGACAGCATCGCCCTCTCGTCGCCTCTGGGATATTGAAAACGTGACAAATCTGATGTAACGGCGCGGGAAGCAACGTGTCGGAGTAACAACACGTAAAAAAGCTTTTAAATTCCGGCTGTGTGAGCACCCTATCAATCCCTTCATATGGCATTTTGCATTTCTCTCGTTGCTAAAATTCACCGGCAGCGGGTTTTGCGCTGCACGGCCCAGTGGTGCAGCCTCGCTCGTAGTGGGATACAGACTCTCCCTCGACAGTTGCAGGGACTAGATGATCTTTAAGGTCCCTTCCAACCCTAACCATTCTATGATTCTGTGATTCTAACGTCGTACACTGAACTGTGGGAAAGCAGACCGTGACGCTGTGAAGCGAAATCCTAGTCCGCAGTCCCCAAGGACACCAACATGAGCTGTTCTAAGGCATCGTCGTTAAAACGCCCGGCAATTCCGTACATTAAACGGAACTGTTCTTGAAGTTCCAAAGGGGGATTATTGATGAGACAATGGAAGGGAATTAAGATTGCGTTAGATTGGTATTTCCAAGCGTATTTTACATTTCCAATGAGCTTTCTGCTGTAACTCAGGGTGGAGGGGGAATTAATCTGTAGGCAGTTCTCAAATTTTTGAGAAGCGATGAAAAGACAGCTTTAATTTCTTCATTGGCCAAACATTCTCCACGTTTACAGAAGTTATGACTGCCTCTTAAAATGGAAATAATCAAGGAATGCAACCTACAGGAATATGTTTAACAGAGAGGTACCCACAGAACTGGGTTTTCAACAAACTCCCGTCAGTTTTACCACAGACAGCAGATAAATTCCCAGGTCTGAGAGTCCACTTCCTCATCCTAAAGCCCCGTGTAGCTGGTAATCACCAGATGCTGTGTGTGTGCTAGGCCTCCTTTTACCGTGAAGGGGTTTATCAACCCCTTAAACCTGTCATTCCCAGAATGTCTCCCTGACCCTCATCTACCGTAACGGGGACATCGTTAATCAGCAGCACAGGACAGGCGACTACTTGCCGTGGTGTTTGTCAGGCACCGACGTTCTCCAGGCCAGTTTGCTGGCCAGGCCAAGTTTACTTGGCACAGCTGCCATAAACCCTGGCCTTTCAGCTACCTGGTGATGCCACTACTGGCTTGGTATCCCCCTAATGACTTCAGTGAAAGTTTAATCAGGGCCTATATTAACTCTTGAAAGAAAGAAGTGAGAAAACTGTCTGAAAAATTATCTTAGACTCTTGAAAGAAAGAAGCTAGGCAATTCTTCAGAAAACTGTCTGAAAAATTATCTTACACATGGAAGATATGGCAGATATAGTCATGTGATTTCTGTTTTCATTCTCTTGTTAACCAGAAAATAAAAAAATCAAAAAACACTCCCCTAACAACAACAACAAAAAAGCCAAATATGGGAAAAAAATTTTCAATTATCACAACAGAAGCACATAAAAATTTCACGTGTCATCTGTCTCCACTACAGGGCACTCTAAAATAAGGACCATTTAGAGAGAAATTTATGACTCACCTTATCGGAAGGTTTGAATGGATTTCCTTGTCCACTTATTCCACCACTGATACTAAAACCAAGGCCAGGATTCTTCTCTATCCTCACACAAAACTAGGTTAAAAAGATAGGGCAAGGTAAGTCAACGCCAACATCAAAGCCCACAAAAACAACGGCGTCTTCTTCACACATACCCCACGTCACCATCAACGAGACAAGCTGACCCTCTCAAAGCTGCACTGAGCAACACAGTAAAAGTCAGTATTGTCATAAAATCAAGGTATTTTCATGATTTTAGCATCTGCAATGACACCCTAATATTCACAGCGTTCCATATTCTAAAATACTATTTTTAAGGAGGAAAAAACCCTTTAGACCTGTGAAAGAGCAGTTCACACTGGCCAAATTTTTCACTTAAACACTGGGATGAACCTGTCAGTGTGGCATCACCTTGTGATAAAGCCACTTTTATTTTTCCAGAAGGTGTCACGTGCAGCATCCCCGGGTGCTTGGGACAAACCCAAGGAGTAAGTACTCTGAAGCTCAGAGACCTTCACATCACGGTCAGCATCAGGGCCACAGCCCAGAGAGCTTGTACTGAGCACCAACCACTCTTACAAGTGCCTTACTCCAGGAAGTAGTGCTGAATCTTACCTTTTAGTCAGGCTGACTCTAAACGGCGTTGGGTAATTGAATATAAAATAGAAATTACTTTGGTGTAGCTTAATGACTACTCACTGAGCCAGCCTGAGCATCTACTCGAGCCACACCAGCAGTTGCTTCTGAATCTCAACGCAGTACTCAAGGACGTAATGCGGGCAGCGGCTCGCGTGGATTGACCAACACTTTAATGAAGAGAAAGGTTTACTAATGGTTCCGAACCTTCTTCTGCAAGTCAGGGGCCTCCAACAGTTACTGCAGTCATTAAGGCCAAATACGACGGGGATCAGACCCCTTAATGAAGAAACCCATCAGCAGCTGTTTCGTTAGACTGGGGGGATTTGTAGGGCTAAACTGGAGCAGCCAGTACAAACTGGGAAGATGAGTCTCTTGCCAAACGTGCCACACCGTTAGCACTGAACGAGGCTACTGGGGAGTTGGCAGAAATTGCAAATTAATTCGGTACGACCCAGCAACGTCAGCTCTGTTCAGGAACTTGGCTGCCAAAGTGTCACATGGTCAATCCGAGCAAAAACCGGTATCGGTCCCTGGGGCTGGGGGCAGGACAGACCTGCTCGCCTCCCCCTGCTGCCTTTACTGCTCTGTTACTGCCCTGGGCTCCCTTCTCTTGCTGGACACGGGGCAGAAAACCCCCAAAAGCTGTTGGCAACGTCTTATAGACACACGGTCTCACCTGCTCCTGATACGCATCCGTGCTTCTCTGGCCCTTGGTCTGGATTAAGCATCGCCCTGTCTGAGGTGCTCGAGAGCTCTGCGAAGAGGGAATCTGAATGGGCAGCGGGGGCTGAAACTGCTGAATGGTGACCTTGTTCATGTTCCCTTCGTACTGCTGCTCGCGGCTCCGGTGCTGTAGGCTTTGGGATCCCATTAAGGTCTGGATATGGCTACCTGCCTGTGGGTAACGTAACCCGTTAGGCCAGAAATTCAGGAAGCTGAAAAGAAGCAATTATTACAACTTACAGAGTCAAGTAAAAGCAAACCTCTTCAATCATAGCAGAGGTTTGCCTTTTGACCAGAGCTGGAAAACACCGCGACTAAAAGCAGCACGGGCATGCCCACTGCAGTCAGCGACCCTAGGAGGCTTCGGGGAAACCAGCCGTACACAGTGTGTTCCATAAACAGAAAATACGGTTTTCCTCACGTCACGACATATGCTTCTGCTCAGAGGGTTTTGTGAACCGAAAACATTTAATAAATTGAAGTGGGGTGGATTATTCTTCACAGCACACTCTGAAGATACTGGAATGTTTCGGGGTGGGGTTTTTTTTTGTTTTTGGAGAAGAGTTTGGAATAAGATTTGTAACACAAGTACAGAAACCGGCCAGCACTGTGCACTGCGTATGGAAAGCATCATCAATTAAACCCTACGCCTTCGCCTAGGAACGAATGTGGCTTTTACAGACCCGAACTAATCACGTGATCACATTTCTATGACAATACCCGCTCATTTGAAGCTCTGACATTTCATACATGGAAGTGAAATCCTGCATTGGCACTGACTTGGCCTTTTGATGGTTTCAGAAGACAAAAGGGTGACGGCTATCCTTCTGCCACCCCCTCCATCCCCACCGCCGTTCACGTTTGGCGCTGCCGTCTCACAGCTGAGGTTTGCTTTCTGTACCCTGTTCCTGACACGGTAACGTTGCGCACTCGCTCACCCTTCAACACACCGTCTCCATTCAGGCACGTGAGTTACATCACTATTTGAGGCTAATCTTTGCAAAATAAATTCAGCTGAGACAATTTTATACTTTTCTTATTTACAGGACTCAGATGTCGTTGCTTATAAACAATCACGTGCAACTGAGCCGTAAGGGAACGAGCAAAATTCATGCTCTGTTGTACCACCAAACCATTATTACCTCCACGAAATACCACGCCGTTACTAGTGAGTTTTCAGATCACAGCACCCATCAGCCAGCGCTATTACCTGAACAGCCTGAATGAGGAGCACGACGATTGCGTGTCTCAGTATCTACAGGTCTCCACGGACAAAACAGACCTACTTTAATCACGATTCACATGAAGTTCAGACCAGCCAATGACACAATCACACCTCGTCACGAAGGTCTAATCCTCAGTACTACTGAACCTTTACGATCCCGGGTGGAAGCGTCACCAACTGTGTGACTATTTTAGACAAGATTGAAGTGAATACAGCAAGGGATCCACACGTTTCTTACCCACTGGCCAATCATCTGGCCTCGGAAGTTCTAGCAGCCGGGGCATTAGAATTAATTGCTTGTTGCCGCAGCAAAAATAACATCGTAATGGATTTCCACCTGGTGTCTGCAGAACACACCATTAAGACAGATGCAGCTGGAGCTACTCGTGTCGCTGAACACAAAATCCCAGCAAGACACGTAGCGACTGCGAGCAAAACCGGTCGGCTCTTGCTGTCCTGCTGATGACGTTTGAGGAAAGGGATAAGGTAGAAAACGTGCTTTTAGAACAAGAGGGATAGACTCAACGTGAGTAATGACAGAGAAATCTCTCGCTTCTTGAGCCCAAATCTTCAATCCTCAAACTCTTCTTCAAACACAGCTCACCCATGGACACGGAAGTGCTTAACAGGCACCAGCAAACTCAGTCCCAGAATAGCCTGGTGAAGTCTGTGCTGCGAACCCCGCAGGTCAGAGAGAGCTTCAGTTCAGCCAAGACCAGAAAGGAAGGAAAATGCTCAAGACGGACTTTTTGGCTGTCTGTTAAGTCCCCAGCAGCAGTGAGCTGTGCCTGCAGGGGATTGCTGAAACCCTGTCAGCCCGCACTGCGGAGATGCACGGCAAAGGTGACGGTGTGCGGGACTTCACAGTGTGTCACACTCATCACAAGAGCATCCAACAAGGCAGAATCTCACAGACTCCGCTATTTGACCCAGATACAATCCCCTACCCACCACAGCAGGCGCACTCTCTGCCCCGGAGGAAGGCAGCTACGTCAAACACAAAAAAATACTGTGCTTCGTCACCAAAAAAGTCCAGGTCTTCTTTATCGGGTTAAAAGACCTCTGTATTGAGCAGCAGACGCTGGAAATGAAACAGAAAGAGCCTCCAGCCTCTCAGCTGTGCCTAACAGAAATAGTCAGAAAGGGAGAGAAATGGTGACCTGGGCACGTGTATGTCCCGGTTTCGAGTCAGCCGCCTTGCTCCAGTTCCATAGCATCCACATCCACCGAGACCATCACAGCCCCTGCAGGGATCTCCCAGATCTGCATGGCTTCATGACTTCCACCCCTTCCCTTTTTTGTGGGGGAGCAGCTATCTCAGAACACAACTGATTAATCAGGCTTGTAGCTGACTTGCTGACATGACCAAAAAAGTCATCTGCCAGGAAGCATAAACACCGCTCTGTTAATAAATCAGGGGATTATTCAATTTCAAGATTAAAATATCCAACTTTTCCGTAAGAGAAATACCCCACAACTGTAGGATGATCACATAAATGATCATACTGAGAATAAAACTAGCATTTAACCTGTATTCTGAACAGCAAAAAGGACAGAAACCACCACTCACACCCCACATACAATTTTGTGGCGATTACCGTGTGCCGTTCCCACCCTACCTGACAGGAACAGCCACCACTACGTGTACAGTAGCCTGCTACGTGTGGATAATTCAGGAACACACATTATCCTGCCTATTTAGGTACTACATCAGCCAATCTGTCTGTAGTCCACACTCTTCCCCTTGGAAGAACAAGCCCAAGTGATTTCCCAGGTACAGCTCTGCCATGTAGTGACTCTCTTCTGCGCGAGACCCTTCACACCAGTATGGTTACGTTACTGGAAAAACACATCACATACTACAATTTATATCATTTGATTGTTTGTTATGTTGACCTTCATTTCTATAGAAGATTTCCTGAGTCTGACTTCAAATAATTGCTGCATTTTAATCCCCAGATGCCGGGAAACCAAGCCACTCGAGGTGACTTTCAATGGAGAAGGGATTAGCATGGTCGTGGCAGCACATTGCACACCACCTCCTGAGGATGGTGAGTAAACAATTTTCAGAATTCATTTTCTCACTCCGGCTAATAGACTTTGAAGAGAACACATCACTGCTTCTTGCGTATTCACACGGTGGCTCTTGCTGGAGGTGGATAAGCTGCCTTTCTTGGAAATGAGAATTACTTATTCTGCAGGAAAAAAATCTCCCATTATGCTGACTGCTTCCCCGATTCCATTTGTATTCTTTATTTCCCATCCACCACAGAAGTTAATTATTTTCAGCTCAGTGTCCAATATTTACAGTATAATTAAAGTAGCTGACAAGGGATGTAACAATGGATTGCTCCACTGAGTTAAGCAGATTTCAGTACGGTTAAACAACGCTTGTACTTACCCCATCTGAGCAGCAAGATACTGAAATACTCAGAACGGAACAGAATCTGCCGTTTCTTATTATAGTAACACCGATGATGCACAAATGCAAGGCGTAGACGGTGTTAGATTGTGTGAATGGATAAAGGAAGGTTTATCCCAATATGCCAGGGAAGATAAGCAGCAACTCATAGAATCACAGAATGGTTTGGGTGGGAAGGGACCTCAAAGATCATCTAATTCCAACGCCCCTGCCATGCCAGGGACACCTTCCACTATGTCTTATCCTAGTTTCTTGCATATCAGAGGATAAAGAAACCCTTTGAATAACCTGCCTGTCAGAGCCAACTCCATCAAACAACGTCAGGGCACCTTCCTCCTCACCCTCTGTGCCCGGGAAGGCGGCTCTGGGCTGCTCTAGGTGCAACGGCTCTGCTCTCCCATCTTCAAGCAGTTCTCTCCTACACGTCTCTCTCGCTGCTACTTCTGTACAAGGCCAGGGCTCCTGCTTCTGAAACTGCCTTGGATAAGAGACGTGAAGCCAGCAGGGAGATATTTACCTCATCAGTGCTGGGAGTTACTTCCTCAGAAATCATCAGTGTGCACGTTATGACTTTCACACTGGTTTTATTCACTTGTAAGTGAATAATTCCCAGCTTTATGATTAGAGCATCTAAAAACGGCAGTTTCAGAGCCGTTGAACAGAGCCAAGCGGGGGCTGGGCGAGAGCAGCCAATGTTTTCACAGAAAGAGGCCAGATCCAAGCACTGGAATTGAATATCCACCGCCACAAGGTACTGGAAATGAGAACCCTTCCTAGCGAGTTTATCAGCAGACGATGTGTGCCTAGGACATCTCTGCCAAAACGTCCGTGACCGCTGGGCTGGGCTCCATCTCAGCACGTTTACTTTTTTGTCAGGAACTGAAGAACTGAATTGGAATGAAAATTTCAAAGGAAGACTTTTTCAGGACCAGAGGGAGCTGACGGCTGTCTGATACGCGCAGGAATACACCTGCCAGGCCCACCGTGCCCGTTCCACAGCGACAAGCATCTGCACGAGGAAGTACAAACACCGGCAGCAGGCACGAAAACAACTCGTAAGGATCACTGAGCTCACTTTGAAACAAACCCACGTGTTTTCCCGGCCCGTCCTCGGTAACCCGTCCTCCTCCTTCCACCGATCCACCGGGACAAGACGACGACCGCGGCTCTGCTGTGCTGCTTACCTTCTTGGTGAGGGTGTCCGGCGGCACGTCCCGCCGCCCCAGCGGGTAGGGGTTCCACTGGCTGCTCACGGACACCTCCTCCTGCCCGTTGTCCAGAATGCTGCTCTGCTGCGACGGGGTCTGTTGCAGAAACGGTAGGGCAGCCTTTAGTCACTGTCACACCATGACAGGAAATTCTCTCTTCATATTTATTTCAGTCATCAACCCAGTTAAACCGTAACACGCTATTGCTAACATGGAAATCCTTTTAAATTGCTACGGCATTTCATTAACGTGTAATCACAGTGCTGGGGGGACTCTGCAAGCAGGAGATCTTGAAAGATATACAAGAGAAATAATGAGAATAATGAATGATGAGAGAAAAGAGAAAATTAATTTAATGTAACTCATTCTTTCCAGAGAAACAAATTTTGGCAACGTTCCATACTTAACCGTGCAGTCTGCCATTAATCATTTGAGTTCAACTTTGTTACTGGCTATTCAAGCATCAAAAACCGTTTTATTAAGCACGTGCCAGCAAGATTAAACTATTCGCTTATGTTTTCTTCAAGAAAGTATTCCCTAATGGCAGTGTCGAGCTTGTGACCTCGCGCTACGCTGCGTGTGTGCCGTGCATCCTACAGACCTGTCTCCAGGCTGCGGCTGGATCGGTCTAAGGAGATCATCTGTGCAAAGTTACCCTGTAATTAAATGCCTCCCTGAATGTGAATGGACATAACACACATTTAAAGATTCCTGATATTTTTGCGTTATTTTCCACTTTTCTCTCCTTTTATCCATGTTCCTTCTTTGTCACTTTTTCCCCTGATTATTTTACGCCTGTTTTCAGCATTTTTGCAGACGTCTGTACTTTCTCTGTCCCATCCTGATTTTCTGTTATCTGCCTCTGTGTTTCTTTACCGTAGCTGGAAATCTTGCTAACATGGGTATGGCTTTTTGTGTCAGACTTTCCAAAGCGTTTCCACTGCACTACTACTGGCAGCACCCAGCATCACGTAGTGCTTATTCAGTTAACTGCTTATTTGGTTCTGTTAATGGTAACCTGCAAAGGAAAAAACCAAAAAGTCTCTTCTTCCCCTCTGCCATTCAAGCAATTTCTTCTTCAGTTTAGAATTTAAAAAAATCATTAAACACTTCTTTAGATGGCTGAAGAACAAATGAAACTGTTACTTTGATATATGAAAGCTGGTAACTGGTCTATTAAGGACTTTTTTTTTTTTTTTGATGCAAGATTAAAAATCCTTTAAAAAGCAAATAAAAGTAAACAGTGATTAAATCATACTCCTCAGAGGTTAAGAAAAAAAAATCAATCCTAATTATTTAAAATCAAAGAAAACTTTCACTATCATTCTCCAATCACTCAAGAAGTCTTCTGGAAAAATCAGGAAAGATCGGATTTTCCACATAGTAAAAACCACTAGAAAAACATTTCTCCTGTTAAAACGATGGGATGCCCCTCTAGAGACATCTTTACAGATATTAAAAACGGAAAAATGAGACCAGCCTCGGCACTTTTTCCATAGGTTTTCCCTCACAGCTCAATAGACACCGGTCCCAGTGCCTGATGCAGCAGAGCTGCTGCTCTCTCAGCACGACACTCTCGACCGCCGGCAAATCTGGGCCCAGAGCTGCCCGCTGGCGTAGGGACATGCACGAAACCTGACGATACGGCTCTAAGCCCCTCACACGCAGCTCAAGCTGTGTCTGACAGGTCTCCAGGACGGCGAGCAGCCTGCCTGAACACCCTGCCGGGGGTCAGCCCCTGTCCGAGGCTCCCCGGCCCAGGGCACGCCGAGCCCCGTTTGTCCATCGATCAGAATTTGGGCCTGGGTAGGGCTCTTTGTGCCTACGTAAACTCATGACCAGGCATTCTGCTGCTTGCTGCACGTCCCCACATGTACCTCACCCAAACGGGAGGTACGCCACCTGAGACCAGGGCAGTAAACGACTTCTAAAATGAAAATGTATAATTGCAAAAATTTCTGCTCTGAGGAGTAGTAAAAACCAATGAAAAAGAAAGGCCGTCATCTTCGTGATGTGTCATCCCTTCCAGCGTCACCCACGGACCGAGGAGCCCAAGGCTGTGCTGGAAATGTGCCCACCTCCCTGGGAGATGAAGTTCCAACACGTGCCCTCCCCTGGCTGAGACGGGACTCTTGAGGCAGCCTCCCAAGGGAACGTGTAGGTTTCCCCCTGAGTGACACATGTGAACGTTGGTCATTCCGAAAGGGAGGTGGTCCCGCGCACTTCCAAGAAAGAAGTGCACCACACCATAAACTTTTAAAAGAATTGTGAGGCCAAAAAATGGAAGCATTCTTCTGAAAAGCATTTCTTTTGTCACCGTCGACAACGCTGTGCCAGTTTTATAAGCAACCGACTAATCTGCAGAGGTGGCTTGGCACTATAACCAGAAAAAGTACTGCTTTTTCAATAAATAGGAAAATTCTGTGATAACGGGTTTTTCTTTTCATTTTCTCCAGTAGAATGAATTTGTCCACTTGCAATATTGTTCATTTACAGAGCTCGGACAGACTGCAAAGAAGCGACGTGTCTGTTAAGTCTGGGTACAAAATGAAAAGGAGCGATTCAAACGCTCTACACATGGAGCAGAATCGATGTAATAAACTTTCTCAGGATCAGTAATTGCTACACTTGATTTCCTGATCTTCCACTGGACAATCAGACCTCACTCATTACTCTCTTGAATCTAGGCCACAAGAAAGAGGAAGAGGAGGAGGTAAATATTAAGCTGCTGTGGCCTGGATTCATTAGGAAATGCAAAATCCTTTAGAAAATGTGAAAGGATGAAATTAAGCAATACTAGACATTCAAATTATATGTTCAACAATAATTTTTCACTGCTTTCCAACCAGTACAGTAAGAGAATACACCCCTCCATGCAGTTCAGTGTCACGTTTTACATGGGTATGTAGCAATGAAATGCTGGTGGAATATAAAGCGGAACCATTCACATAAGACCACACCCCAAAATGCGTCACCGTAAACAGCTTCACCCATTTCTCAGGTGACTATCCAGATTCATCGACAATAACCTAAAATCATTAAAGTGATCCGATTCATCGACAATTAATAACCTAAAATCATTAAAGTGATCTATAATACCTTATTCCTAAATGTGCACAGAGAAATAGTACCATTATTTGGATGTCAAACGAACTTCCTTCAAGGACGTGTGACAAGCAGTAGTTCATACCCAAATAGACAAACAAATTCTTTGACAGAAAAAACCAGTATGACCAACACTGGACAGCTGCCTGCGTCCACACACACAGCCCTACGGTTGAGAGGTGACCTGGATGTCATTCACTGAACAACAGAGAAGCACACACTAACAACAGGACTTGTTTAAACCCGGGGACAGCTGAATGGGAGGTGTAAATGAAGTCAACGGTGTATGGAAAGTAAGTTACAGCAGGAGCAACCTGAGAGTGATCTGGGGCTGTGTGCGCAGTTAACCTATCCCAGCTTCCCTTGGAAATCCCGCGTGCGATGCGCATCCCTGTATCAGTAAGCGAAGGAGTGCTACGGCCTGTCCTCCGGCCAACCCAACCAGCCCAATCTGCTCACGCTGCTGCCATTAAATTATCTTATCCTTCTAAACAGGCTTGGATCTAATCGGGCATTGGAATCGTCCTTTGGGAATTTCTGGCCAGCACGGATGCTGGAGCCCGGGCCAGGGATTGCCTGGGAGGGTGCCAGCTGGCCAGGGCCACCCCACGCCTGAGGCCAGCCCAGCAATTAACAGCCCAGCAGATCCCGTTCAGCGCCTGGACCTGTGCTC